AAAAACTTTTGAAAAATCAATGAAAAAATCCGCACGGATTTTCCGGACCACCCAATAAAATGCAAGACATTACGGCGCTCGTGTACATTTTACATACAGAAGCACTCGGATCACCCAGGTTGGACATCAGACAGGCAAACGCGTTCGCTATTCTGCCTACTCTGGTGTAAAGTGCTCACTGGACTCCCATCGGCCGTCGAGAATGAGCAGATATCTGATCGTGGGGGTCAGCCTAACGCGAACAGTTCCAATTAGGATCCAGAAGAAAGGCGACACTCCGCCCCTCCCGTTATGGAAAAATGTTTTCCGTCTTCTTGGGAGACACCTCCAGTCCCAGGTCCGTTATAAAGCCTACGATGCGGTGGCGCGGCATGCGTCTCCACTGCCTGTCCCCAGTCATCTCCCGCCGCGAGCACCACTGTAACATGTAACACATTACTTCAGCTCTCGGCGAGTGGGCAGTGCGAAGGATGGAGTCGTATGCCAGATCCCCAAAGCAGATGTCCCAAGACAGATCTCTGAGAGACCCCGCACGAGACTGTCATCTCGCACTCAGCACCATCTCGGTTGATGTAAACCAACAATATATTCTCCCAGAAGCGTTCACTAAGCGGCTAGGTAAGGAGACATCTGGAAGTATTCCATCGCCTTTTTCTTTGTGTGTAAGAGGGGAAAATTTTTATAGATACTCCTGATCAGACATCGAGACATATTGGATTCCAGGATATGTTTGGCCCTAGAAGGTATCCAATGGACATACCCAACAAAAGTTGAGCACGTCCCAAAAGCATCAACCTACTAACCAGAACCGCCTACCAACTAAAAACCGCCCTGTGTCCTACTTTGGTGACGCGGATTTGACAACGCGTTAACATTTTTTTCAGACCTGCGTCAGCCTCGCAAACGGCGAGGCTTACCGGGCAACACGGAAACGAGACCACACCATGCGCCTAGTAGCTGCTCGCCGTTTTCTGCTCCCGCGCCGGCTCGCATCGACCCGGAGTAACCCGGCAGATAGGCGCACGTCAGCGCGAAGGCCAAAGTTTATCCGCCGGTTGATGGGAGGGGAGCTATTATGACCCAGCCAAAATACATCAGCTGTGGGTCTGGTTCACCTCCCCCCCCGCCAATGCCCCACGCTTTGTTGGCGTAGGAGCGACACGCTGTTAAGGCGAAATTACTTTCGCCTAGGCAGCTTCCCAGCAGGCGGAAGACCCCCCCCCCCTCCCTCGAGCGAAGACGGGGCTTCCAATGGCGCGGGTGGCGCTAACTCCACCCTCGAGAGACTCACCCATAATACACAGGGAGCCCTCTAAGGCAGAGGCACTTCGCCGCCAGGCTATCCGGAGAAGTAACATCCTCTCCGGAAGCCGACACCTATACGGTATGCGCCGAATCGCTATCCGGGGAGACCGTAGTTTCCCGGGTAACATCTGTTTCGCGCATTGGCCGCACTCGCGGCCTGACGTTTACACAGAACGAACTTCCTATCTTGTGGCCGACGGGACGCCCCTTACAAGAGGAACGTCCGTCAACAATATATGACCCAGCTCGTCACAGTTAAAGCAACAGCGAATCTACGGAGGACGGACACCGCTGCTGCGTATGGCTCTTGGCCAGACACCGGAAACAGCGGACGGGTCTCCTCTTAAGGATAACCACCCGCGCCGATGACCAACCAAGGGTCAACTTCTCCTGGAGAATACATACCTGAGCCACCCGGACTGCGGCGTCAGCGGAACATTGAGCCTAAATGGACCGCGCCGCGTGTACCAGACGATATCCAGACGGATGTTGGTTAGTGCGCACAGGCGCACAGTGGGATGAAATCGTAAAAAGCTGGCCATTTGCCGAAAATCGAAGGTTCTAGTTTAACGCTGCAATGTGTCCCGACCGTTTCTAGGAACCCCAAAGTATAAAGAAAACCGGTTTTCAAGCGCTACATGCCGCACAGCATTGCATAGGGCCATTCGAAAGTTGACCGTTGGAGGAGACGCGTCGAGAACGAAAACATGTGCAGTTCCGACCGAAAAGTGAAAGTGTGTGCATTTCTCGATAAAAGTAGATATTGAAAAGTCGCTATATGGATTCTTCTCAGCAAGGTATGTAGAATTTAACGAAAAATTATAATTTCTTAATTACTAACCAGTAAATATTTATAAATAATTAAGTGAACCTATGTTTTTGTCATTTATATGCAAAAAATTTAGTAAACATTGATGAAAAAGTTTACCACTCGACTTCACTCGATCAATGGATGACACGGGAAATTGTTTAATAACCCCTGAACTTTGAATTCGCGAAGGAATTAGCTGCAACAACCTGCAACCCCGCTGTTTACATTACTTGGTTTATAAACATGCATAAATATGCAAAATATAAAGAACATGTAAAATAAATGACTAAAAAATTGATTCCATTTTAATGAATGTTGCTGAAAATGGTTACTTGGGGGTTTTTGAGGTCGCTGATTACGAATCTGATGATATTTTTTTCAAAAACGAAATGGGGGATTCAATATGGCGGAAAAAATTTTGAAATGTCGATAAATCTTTATGTATGTTGTTAATCAAGAAGATATATCTGATTTTTAGGTTTTCGGGGTCGCTGAATTCGAATCTGACAATTTTATTTTGAAAAACAAAATGGCGGATCCAATATTGCGGCCAAACATTTTAAAAAATTGATAAATATTTACCAAATCATTACTGGGGGGTTTTCGGGGTCGCTATTTACGAATCAGACTATCGATTAAAAAAGTGAATTGAGTGTATAACCTAAATAATAAAATTTCAAGAATATATAATTAATTTTTTAAAAATCAATATATGGCAAAAATGGATAATTTTTTAATTATTTCTATAATGAGTAATGTAATATTGATTTTTTTTCAGAAATGAGGTCTAACGAGAAGATATCCATTCAGAGAAGTGAACTATTCATCATTCTGAAAGACTTATTGAACAACGAACTAACAAAAACTCTTGAAGTAGTGGAAAACTACGTTTCCAAAAAAGCGAATCGGAAATATTATTTATCGGAAGAAGAGAAGAAAAGTGTGTCCTATTTGTTGTATCGATTTCGCACTTTATGGAAAGAATCGGCGAGAACAGAGAGCAGATTTAGAGCAAAAAATCAGGAATGGTTAAATGGTTCCATTGTGTTCAATGATCAAAAAGCATCAACTGCAGCAGCAATTTTATTTTCTAGAAAAATATTGTCACATTTGAATTCAGCGCCCCAAAAACCCCCGAGTAAAGATTTTTGAGACGATTTTTCAATGTTACATGCTCATGTCCACCTTTTTCGATTTTTATCCCACTGTGAGGCGAGATAAACGTCCCTTTTGACGACCACTCCATGAGCACATCAGCTTTGGTCCTCAATCCTTTGCCGGGAATTTCCATGAGGATACTCCTCTCGTCTGGGTTTTACATATCCTCGTATTCACAATTTCAAGATCGGCAAGGTCGAACTTCCTCCTTGCCAAGCCTACGATTTTAGCGTACATCCTCATCACACCTAATTAAAACGGCTGCCGCTCTAGGCGTCCGGATACGCTGACATACCAGATCGTGCCGGACATTCGTACGAACTGGAAACCGCGGAGATCGGGGGGGGGGCTAAAGGACCAGCCCCCCCGGTCTGCAGCATCACTATTCCGTACACCCGCATCTGCAATAGCGGAACGCCCAGAAGGAGCAACAAGAGGAAGGAGCGTCAGGAAAAATTTTCCTCTTGCGCTTCCTTTTCTTTCTCTTTTTGTTACCATATCGGCTTGTCACTTCTGTTCAGAACTTTCCCCCCTAGCCAGCCTCCTATCGCTTCATCTGTGGGACTCCGTCGTCACCTCCTCCATCACCGTTCCTCGGCGATCATAATCCTCCACATCAGACATCGAGACGTCCCTAACCTGTATGACGAAGTTATTCCTCACGAGCGAGGCACGGACCCTTCCCATCTCTCGGTGGAGAGACCTAATTTCCTCCCGGTCCGTCCTGATATCAGCTTCTTGCGAAGCCGCACGATTTCCCTCTCGAATTCCTTTACGATTCCTCTAGGGCCTCTGGTTCTAATTGAGTCCGCCGCAAACTTTTGTATAGCCTGTTTTGCAACGTGCATTCCCACGATATTGTACTTCCTGAGGTCATCCTTCATCGTGGTAATGCACTGCTGAAACCTGTATGTCACGTCTCGGCCACGACTGCCCTAGGAGACATCTCCGGAAAAAGAGATGTGACTTCCTCCGGCCTTTTTCCGAATTCAGCAAGTTATCAAGAGAGAACTTAACGAGTCTCTTTCTCTTCTTCACTGCCTTAGTTGAGGACTAAAACTACGCTTTACGATCTTCACAAAGCTCTCTCCGACCTTTTGGTTATCCAGATCATCGTCCTCGATGTCCGTCCGCGAGGCAGACAAAGAGACCGCGAATCAACGACATTACTGCCCTTTAGCTTACGGCCCCTTTTCCCTCGCATAGACTGCGTCTCGTACGAGTCCGAAGGGATGTACGAGGTTTGATAAAAAAATAATGGGAATTTTTTAATTTCGCGGGCTGTATAAATCCGATTTTCAACTTTTTTTTTCATCTTGTTCGTACACATGTTTCTGACGTATATGTTGACATTTGCATCTATTTTGAATGTTTAGTTTATTGTTGACAATCGAAAAGGTTATACGTGTTTTGGTGTGCTCGGCGATTTTTTACTTTCGGAAAAAATGGATCAAAGAATCTATATTAAATTTTGCTTGAAAAATGGAATAAAGTGCAGCACCGTATTCGAAATGTTGACTGTGGCTTTTGGTGAGTCTACTATGAGTAAAACAAGAGTTTACGAGTGGTACAAACGTTTCAAAAAGAGCCGTGAAGACGTTGAAGATGACGATCGCTCTGGACGCCCTAGCACATCAATAACCGACGATAACGTCGAACGGGTGAAGAAAATGATTCTGGAAAATCGCCGAATCACTATCAGAGAGGTTGCTGATGATGTCGGCATATCATTCGGCTCATGCCAAGCAATTTTTTCGGATGTTTTGGCAAAACCACTCGTGGAAATTGCATCACGATAATGCTTCCGCTCACACCTCACTGCTTATTCGTGATTTTTTGATAAAAAACAAAACCGTTATTTTGCCTCAGCCACCGTATTCACCGGACATGGTTCCCTGTGACTTCTTTCTATTCCCGAAGCTGAAGAGAACTCTGAAAGGACGACGTTTTGCCAACATTAATGAAATAAAAACAGAATCGCTGAAGGAGCTGAACGCCATACCGAAAAGTGAATTCCGAAAGTGCTTCGAAGATTAGAAAAAGCGCTGGCACAAGTGTATTATATCTGAGGGGGATTACTTTGAAGGGGACAAAATTGATATTGATGAATAAATAAAGATTCTTTGAGAAAAATGAAAATTCCCATTATTTTTTTATCAAACCTCGTATATGGATTCGTCGAGATCGGCATTCTCGGCCCTGTCGTCCGTAAATATCCGAGCCGTGTCCGCAACCGACATCGGAGAATTCACTATGTCTTCCTCCATTATCTTAATTCGCGTTTCTTTTGATAAAATAACGTCACTTATTACTTTGGAATCATTCCCCAGCGTGCAAAAGACCCGAAGGCCTGCAATCGCATGGGCGGCAGCTCCCAAGAGAGTGCGCCCATTCCAGCTCCAGGAGTCCATCCCGACCCTCTGCCGTCCTCTTTGTCAGAATAAAGGTCCAGCCTCGCCAAAATGATCCTCAGCGCGAGAAGTCTTGACTTCGATGTCATAACCCTCGCCTGACTCGGAGTCTTTACAACCCTCCAATCCTTATTTGCATGTTCGTCAACGATAGAATCTTCGACTGTGGAGCCCATTGGCAACTCTACAATCAGCTCCTCGCTGGAGTTACCACAGAGCGAATCACGTGGAGTCGACCGGGAACGGGAACACTATCCCCTGAAAGCCGTGACGGGAATCCGAGCACCCGCCGTGTTCCACTTCGTATACCTAACATATCTATATATTATATTATATATTCATATCTATATATATTCGGCAGCAATAAACAACCGAGAGCCTGCCGACGTCTCCCAGCCGGTCCTATTGAGACTCTCTAAGCAACCTAACGCATGACGGACATACCGTTGGCTAAAAGAAAGATGTTGATCAAGAGAAGAGAAGAACAATTCTACGTGCGATACCTGTAAAAAACTCACACAGCCCCCCATGAGGGCTCCCCCCCCCCAGTGCGCTCGTGAGATGTAGGTCCCAACAAGTAACTCACTGGGAACGAGAGACTAGTTGGAATCTACTCTACCAGCTATGCAGGCTGGTTCCTGAGCTTTTAACGCATCCCATCGGGACCAGAGGTCCCTAGCCAGTATGTAGCTATCAACCACTATCCCCTCGATGGTCCTATCCATGACTGAGCGTAGGCAACTGTCCAGTCCCCACAATACCAATCTCGATCATCTTCGTCGGATCTTCGTAGCCTAGGCTACTCCCAGTTTGCGTCGTCTACACGCGCGACACTAGTCGACCAGCGCTTCGGGAGCCGTCGGGATGCTACTCTTCGGGGACGCTTCATAGGAATCGTTCAGCAACCCGACCCCGGGCCTAATCCCGAGACAGAGCGCCAAGCTTTCAACCTGATCAGCCTCTTGCCTGCAAAGGCTAATACGTTAAATAGCCTCTTGCCGTATCGGAATAAGCCTTTACATAAGGAGCCGGTAAAACTCGAACTCGGAACAGTAGTCACGAGTCAAACGCGCAAGGTATCTAACCACCGACGCCCAAGTTGGTCAAGAGACAATCGTCGCAAGAAAAATCGACTTCAAGCGACATGTCTCACCTCCCATATCGCATACAGAGTGATGTCCTACGCAGGCAACATCGCATCGCCACAGAGCAGGGAATAATTCCTGCCTGGAAGGCGAATGCCCTTCCATTTCCGAAAAGGCTAACTCACCCCTGCGTTCAGATAATCTGCACTGCCACAGAATATAAATAATTATTAGAATTATTATAAACCAAAGAATTATAAACCAAATAAGAATATATGATTGAAACATGACCGAATATTTACATACTACACTCATTGAACACAGCACCTTTGCGGTCACAGTATTAAGATGTTGAACTATTGTCTTAATATACATTCAATAAAATTGAATTAATTTTTCAGACATAAATAGGAAATCAAATAAGAATAAGCAAGAACTATCGCGGTAATGGTTAATTGGAAACCGCACGGTAAGACAGCACGGGTCGCTAAACCTCCGCACCGCCAAACGGGGCATTCAAAAAACCATCACCAACCAATACCCCACATAAAGAACATATATCTAATATATATCACTAACATATATACATGCGGAGGAGATCCTACATAGCCGTTGATTGGCTGATTCACCCATCAGCCGTCCGTCCCCCAGCTACGCACCACTGCTGTGGGATAGAGGAATTTTTATAGAGATCCAGCTCGTCACCCAGAAATTTAGGTGCAGTCCTGGGCGCCCGACCTCTGCTGCGGGAGGATCCCAAATTTTCTTTGCAAGGTAAGGAGCCAGAACCTCCGGATGTGCAATGCAGAAGTTACGGGAACTCGAGTCCGCGGATGTGTCAAACCCGTACCCGGATCATATCCAAATGAACATAAGCGTGCTGAGAACAAGCCAGTCTCAACTCATAGCCAATCGCAATGTGATCAATCGCAACGTGATCAATCGCAACATAATCAGTTGGGATCGCAGTCAAAGAAAACGTGATCAAATGGGACACTCCCCATCTTATCCACATTTCATCTAATATAATGACGAACAATTAATTTTTGTAATCTTAAACACAATTTAATGATGCTATTGTGTCTAATCAATTTTGTATATAAACATTTTACTTATAATCTTGTGTAATTGCTGAAAAGGATCCTAATATTTTGGGTAAAAACGTTTAATTAATTGTTAAACAATAAATTGGTTCTCAAATCTTTTTACTTTTATTTGATTTAATTTAGAGCTTATATAATATCAATTTTTAATATTAGTACAATTAAATGTTAATAAAAGTTATCTTAAATCTGCGAATAATTTTATTGCAAAAAATATTACTTCAACTAGAGTTTGAACTTGGAAATCTCGACTGCTATATGACTTCATTATTATAAAGGGAAGAATTTCTATTCAAGAAAAATCTTGTATTTAAATCTTTTATAATATGACTAAAAAGTAAAACAACAAATTGAAATAAAAATGCATGTTATACAGGAGATGAACAATACATTCATGAATTTTAATCGGAATTTCAAGACAACCTTATTTACAAAAAATATTAAATACTATCAGAAAAAACATTTTGGACATTAAATCTCAATTATCTTAGGAATCTGATGTACTAAAATCTTTTGGCTTGCGATATCACGTTTCAGTATTGAAAAATCTATAAAAATATCTTTGAAATAATCTTTGCCTTAAATTAGTGTTATTTTGAGAAGGAATGTCCAATTTCATAGAAAAACATTACAAGATAACTCGTGAATAATAAGTTAAAACCTTAGAGCATACATATTGAAAGGGCCATATCGTATTTAATCAATGTAATAAAAGTGTCTCCAACATTTATCTGTCCTTGTCTGAAAACTTGTTTGCTGTATGCTTGCGCGTGATTTATATGTAAGCTTTAAACGTGTATGTATATGTTTTAAAGATGCCATTACATGCAAGCATTGAACGTCGAGCATCAGAACGTCGAGCATCAGCAACAGAAGTTTGAATCTGCAGATTCATGCGCAATAATCTTCTGCACAGCTTCTTAACGCAAAATAATAAATTATGAGAGGTTATGTTCTTATATATATTACTATTTTAACATACAATGCTGAATATTTATATTTATTTACATTATATAGTGTAAACTATAAGACTGTAAGATTCCACTATTAGTGTATCTCGTACATTAAATTCAATTTTAGTAAAATTATTAAACACATTACTGCTCATGCTCTAACGCTCGACGTTTGACGCTGCCATGTAAATGCACATTAAGATACCATTACATGGGGTGCTTTTCATTTGATAACACAAGTCGACACAAATGTTGTTCTTTGTCATTCTCTGAATGTCAAGAAGAATAAAATGACTTGTGTCGACTTAAAAATTATGGGATGAAAAATTTCAGAATATTTCAAAATTCTGTTACGTATTGTAAATACATTCACATGAACTATAAAAGAAGCATTTACTTAGGCTGCTGGAAAAGTTTCTGCAATCTAGTACTTCCAGTGGCACCTTCCAGTTCTGCTACTATCATATCCGTAAAAATTAGACGTTTTTAACCTATAATTCGATTGACAGTTTGTACCTAAGCCAACTAGTTTTGTTTGTATAGTATTTTAAAAGAAGTTATTTTGTAAGAAAATGGAAATTTCGCGTAAAAATTTTCGGGCAATGATTCTTTACGATTACAAATATAATCTAACTCCGAAACAATGCATCGATCGACTACATTTGGCTTTTGGGGATGAAGCACCATCCAATAGAACTGTTTATAATTGGTTTGCCGAATTCCAGCGTGGACCTTTCTTAGTGATGAATTCCGTGAAGGTCGTCCATCCACGTCTGTTGTTGCCACTAATGTTGATGCTGTGCGTGAAATGATTGAGCGAAACCGGCATATAACATACCGCGAGATTCAGGCATCCTTAGGCATTGACATGAAAGCAATACATACGATTTTGCATGATCACTTGAGCGTACGGAAACTTTGCAGTCGTTGGATCCCACACAATTTGACCGAAGCTCAAAAACAGACTCGTGTTAAATAGAGCAAAGAAATGCTCAAGAAATTCAACCGAGGTCGGTCAAATTTGGTCTACAACATCGTTACTGGGGACGAAACATGGATCTATTCGTATGAGCCCGAAAGTAAACAACAATCCACTGTTTGGGTATTTCAAAATGAACCGAAACCAACAAAAGTTGTTTGTTCACGCAGTGCTGCCAAGCAAATGATTGCTTGTTTCTTCGATTATACTGGACATGTGACAACCGTGGCTTTAGAGGATCGAAGGACTATAAATACTGATTGGTATACAACAATTTGTTTGCCATAAATGAATTGCGTAGAACAAACCGAAATCGTCGCATCATCCTTCATCATGACAACGCCAGCTGTCACACAGCACGTCAATTCGTTGATTTTTATCCAGTAATAATGTCGAATTAATGACTCATTGTTTGTATTGTATTCATCTGATTTATCACCTAATGACTTCTTTTTGTTCCCAAACATTAAAAATAAGATGCATGGTGAGCGATTTGAGTCGTCTGA